CAAAAAAAAAAAAAAAAAAAAAAAAAAAGAAAAGGTAAAAGGGTCAGTTATCTTTATAGCTTTGTAACTGCACTTGCCAATTAGCTGAGCTACTACACTACTTTTGACTCATTCCTCAAACTTAGAAAAGATGTATTTCAGGACTATTGAACAAAAAAACTAAGCAGTACTATAACTAGCTAAACCCACCCCAGCTCTAATTTACCACATCTACAACAGGATAAAAGTGGCACAAGTTGGACTTGTGCTCCAGTCCAATGCAGACTGCCATCTGATGCACACACACAGGGTGTCTCCCAGGTGAGCTTCAATCTTATTGTCATCTTCCAGGGACCTTCCAAGAGGGATCTTTGGAAGACCTTTCTGGCAAACTGCTTATTCACACATTCACCGTATGTATACTTCCAATCACGTCTACTTAAGAGTCTACTTAGATTCATGCGGTTTTGAAATACAATAATTTCCTGACAGTTAATTTTATAAGGGAGGTGAAATGCAACGGAGCAATACCAATTTATAAGGAAAAGAACACAGCAAAGGAGTCCTACTACGTGGGGTACGAGGAGTCATGTTAGACATCAGCTCTGTGATCCGGGCCTCAATTCTAGGCATGAAACATCAAGATCCAAATTGTGAAGAAATACTTTTCAAATTCAGTGTGTTGTGAGGAATTACAGAAATATCAGGTGGAGACAGCTATATGCATGATGATATAACAGTTGTAGAACAATAAAAACGTGTTTACATAACTTTAAATAATCAAGTTCAACTTTTTCAAAATCTTACAATTCTAAGTTCACTTACAAGTCACCACTTGCAGGCCAACCCTCTGCCCTTCAGCAAACCCTGCGTTATAATCCCCACACACAGAACACTTGCATGAAGTATCCCCACAAGGAAGACACTCACAGCCTGATGGATTCGCATAGTGGGAAATACGAGGTACAAATTTTTGAATGCCACATGAACACCACACCCAGACAGTATTAACAACAAACTGTGCAAAGTCAGAAGATGTCTGATTAAAAAACAGAAATAAAGACAACTTGGGGAGTCTTTAAATAGTTCGGGGGAGAGAGCAACGCAATCAGACATTTGGGTGACCTTATGTCTCTTACGAGAACAAAACACGTAACTGGAGGCTATGAAACATGTAAATCTGAACTGAACTGTGGAAAAGCTCAGCTCTCACCCAAAAGCTTCAGCAAAGCACAAGCAATATGCCAGTATGCCAAATACGAAAAAGTACAATTTTCTCTTAAGACTTGGATCCATAACTATGACTAATAATAGCAATACTATCTTGCATTCCCAGAGCATCAGTTCTTCTCACAGCTCTTAAGCAATTTTATGCTATCAGGGGTCTCAGGGTGTCCTCTCTGAAAATCTCCAACTGTTTCCTTAAAAGCTATGTAATCACTGCAAGGCAAGGGATGTGTTTGTTGAGAGCTGAAGGCACTGATTTCTTCTACCAGGCTGTCTGCAGTGATCCTCTTATTACCACACTATACAACTTAGCCCTAGGAAATAAAACCTACACTCATTCTCTCCGATTTGGCCAGAGACCAAAGCCCATGGGTCTAGAAAGTCCAAAGGAGGGGAATCTACTGACTTGTTAGGTCAAGATCTCCACTCCAAGCTGGTCTCTGGCAAATTAAAAAAATCCCTCCCTCTCCGCCTGTCGCCCCCCTCCAGCACACACCCCAAGTCTGTTCGAACAGAAACTCCCTTTCATTGCCAGCCAATGAAACCCAGCAATAAGCGGTTAATACAACCACCAAATGTGTCTGCGAACTTGTCATAGCCGCTCCTCCGCCGCCTGCCGCCCGCCCTCCTTCAGGCACGCGAGAAGCTCCTAAGCCGCGCTCGGAAAGGACCACCGAGAGCCGTGAGGACCCACGCGGACCCAGCCGGTCTCCTGAAGCAATGCAGCACGCAGCCCCAGAAAGCCGGTTCCCGAGCGCACACACGCCGAAGTCGGGGGGAGAAAGTTTGATTTTCCTTCCCGGCCGTTCCCGCAGGCCCGGGAGGGGTCGCGGGAGCGGCCGCCGGGGTCCTGGGCTGCTCCCCGGGGACAGCGTGGCACCGCCACTCACTCTCCCACAGGCGCGGGCGGCCGCGGCGCTCAGGACACCGGGGCGCAGGGCGGGAGGC